GGCCCCCCAGGGTTTTTTAATGTGTGCGGGGGGGGGGGGGGGGCGGGCAGTGCTCTAATTAACAAGCCAAGCTAATTAAAAATACCCAAGTGCCACATGTACCAAAAAACGGCAGCAGGCACACTTAACTAAAGCTCATGGAACGTGTTCGAGTTTGAAGTGCCCTGCTGCCATTTTTCAGCGCAGGAATGCTGATACAGGTGACACTGGTGATCATGGACAGATAAACACACTGGCCAATGAAGCCCACTGTTGCCTGGGTTCAGTGCTGCCTGATGACTATTCTTCAATTCTGACCCAGTGCTCAATCAGTCAGGGTGAGCGATATAAACCAAATAAGAAGGCTTATTCGCATATTTCTCTGCATACCAGGCACCAGAAAATATGCAAACAAGTTCTCCGGTTATTTATTTTCTATTGCTCACAGGAACTCGCCAGTGAGTGAGCACTGGGGCACCCACCTCCGAAGCACCAGCACTAGGAGGGGAAGAACCCCAGACAGGCCGGGGGGGGGAAGAGTCCCCTCTCACCGTCGGCGTCGGTGGAAGAGACGAAGGTGAAGTCGCCGCTACCAGGAGCGTAGAGCGGCGGCGCAGGGCCCGGCGGTTGCATGTCCCCGCCAACGCGGTGCCTGGAAGGCCGGGGCGGCGCGAGTACGCGGCGGGGCCTAGGCCCGGGGCTCGGCGGCAGTTGCGACGGCTGCTGCCCAGCTCCCCCGGTACGGCGCCCCGACTCCACCAGCGCGGCACCACCCCGCCCATAGACAGCCTGTAACGCACCGCCTGATTGGCTGCTTGAGAACCTCGCCTCCAGAGACTCCCCGCCCTCTCAGCTATGCTTCCGGGTGACCCGAATGTAAGGCTGGACTTGATTGGAGAATACAGAACTCTAACCCCCACCTACCTATGGTGGGGTTTGATTTGTTCCAGAATCACCCCCGCACTTTTATTTGGATGTTTCCTCGCCTTTCCGCCTCCGTCATCGCCACGCCCCCAACTGCCATGTATGTAGCATCCACGTCACCCACCCCGCCCCCACCCGGGTGCTCACTGCGCAGGCGCAGAACTTGGCCTGGGGCCGGTGGCTGAGTCTGCAGAAGCGCGAGGTGCTGGTGCTACAGGGCAGCTGGGACTGGCTTTTCGGCCGGGTCGCGAATGAGCCCGGCGTCCTCCCGCACTGCCAGTTGTCTGGTTTTTCCCCTGCCTGAGCTGTTGCTCCATTTGCTGCCTCTGCTCCCGTTTTCTGCTCCCTGCTCTATGTCTTTCTAACTACCCTCCTGCTCTGCTTTCTGCTCCGTCGTCTACGATCCCTGCCTGACCTGCTCCCTGCCTGTTCTCTTTCTGCTTCATAGTTTATGCTCTCCACCTGGCCTCCTGCTCTGTTTTCCACTCCTTAGTTGATGCTCTCTGTCTGACCTCCTGCTCCACCTTCTCCCTTTGCCTGTGCTCCCTGCTCATTCTCTTCCCTACTCTGCTCTCCCTGACCTGCTCCGCTTCCTAATTATGCTCCCTTCCTGACCTCCTGTCCTACTTTCTGCTCCCTGCCTACTCTCTTTCCTGCTTGCTAATCTGTGCTCCCCCACCTGACTTCCCACTTCCTAGTTTTACTACCTGCAAAATGGGTAGGACAGGAGGACCTGAGCAAAGCCATTTTATTTTATGTAGTGGTTGGTAAATTTTTAAGATTCCAAGTACCCCTTGTTAGACTTGAGGCACCCACAGTAAAGGCCACCACTTAGTTTTCACTTGTGTTTTGGCTACAGACAAAAATAGAGCAGTTCTGTTGTGAAGATATCAGAAAGGCCACAAGAGGTCAGAATGTTTTTAATGCCAGAGAGTTCAAATAGGAATCTGTGGGTTTATCTTGTCATCTCATGACATGCAAGAGACACAGAGGACCTGTACAGAAACTTCAGCCAAGCATTTTTGTCTTTTCCTCAGTATTCACATTGATAAAAAGCATCATGTAAAAAATTATCTTTTTCTGTAGATGCCATTAAAGAACTGGTGTCCTTTTTGGGTTATGCCACCGGAGGGCACTGTACTATTTTTGCTGCATCAAATCTAGCCAGTATATCAGGCCCAGGAGGATATAATGAGCAAAATGTTGTAAAAACATTATAGTTCAAATCTGCCATGCTATATATTTGCTTGTATCTAGCTAGATGCATCCATGTATAACAATGTGTACAAGTGGTGGTTACAACAGATGTTTTTAATAACAGGGATGATATATTTGCATGGCAGAAAGAAGTTTAATAAGGCACTAGGAAGCAACACCCTGGGTTCCTAGCTTAAAGGTTACCTGCAGTGTAGCCCAGGGGTTGGCAAACCACGGCCTGGGGCCTGAATGCATCCCACCAGGCCATTCTATTCTGTTCATGGGGCCCTTAAAAAATTTAGAAAATTAATATTTATCTGCCCTGGGCTGCCTGTCATGCAGCCCACGATGGCTTGCCAAAACTCAGTAAATGGCCCCCTGCCCAAAATAATTGCCCACCCCTGGTGTAGCCTCTATAAATAGTTTTCTTAGTCCCACTTCTGTTTTCGAAGGAACATGCAATACAAAAACTCAGCAGAACATTCTGCAAGGCTTCCTGTGCAGTGCAAAGTCACATGTAGCAGTGGTCAGAACCTTGTGCTACTTACTGAGGGAGGGTCTGGAGCTCACAGATGAAATGCAGGAAATAGTCAATGTTGTTTAGGAAGAGGTACGCCAAGTATCTCACAGATGGTGCCAGTTTGGCACCTCCTTTGTGTAAAGTCTGGCAGACATTTTTGCGAGTAATGAGGATGCATCTAACCTTGGCCCCCAGTAACACCAGTAATTAAACCAGAACTTGTTTGAGAACAAGAGCTACACTGAGAATGCCAACATAGCATCATCAACAACAGGATATTGCCTAACCTAAACCAGCAGAAAGCAGAAGTACTGAAAAGCAGTAGTCAGCTGGGACATATTGGCAGAGTGAGATAACTGGTTGCCTATTGAGAGCATTTTGTGACTGAGCACCACCTGATTTAGGTAATTAATTTTCTTTCTTATTTCTGGCTTATCCCTTGAATGCCTGTAGCATAGGAATGGGCAATTATTTTGGGCAGAGGGCTGCTTACTAAGTTTTGGCAAGCCATTGAGGGCCACATGACAGGCAGCCAGGGGCAGATAAATATTAATTTTCTATTTTTTTTAGGGGTCCCACGGGCCAGATAAAATAGCCTGTCAAGCCGTATCTGGCCCATGGGCCGCATTTTGCCCACCCGTGCTGTAGCAGATGCAAAACAGTAATCTCAGAAGTGTTTTAACTTATATGGGTTGTAAAAGGCATGTATACTGTGTCTTCAAGAAGCTTTGGATTCTTTTCTCTGGGGATAGGGACAGACTTTCAAAAAGCCCAAGCTTGAACTGATTCAGTATTTGCAAGTTGGTCTAACCTGCAGAGAGTGAACTGGTTTGCAAGTGGATAGACGTTCAGCACATGCCTGCAGTGGCCCAAGCCAGAAGCCCAGGGCTGCTAGTGCAGCCCTCCCTTCCACAGGGAAACTGAGCTGAGCAGGGGGCACATGGCCAGGCCCCAGCAGGCCCGCCCCAGCAGCTCCATGACAGCCAGGAGCAATCTCGGCACAGGGGTGCCTGGCCCCAGAAGGGAAACCTTTCCTTTCCTCCCCCTCTGCCACAGGGCCAGGAAGGGGGCCCTGTTCAATGCTGGGGGGGCTCTTTTCCCTCCTCCTCCCCTGCTGCCACTGTGGGGAAGGGAAGGGAGGGGGGCTCTGTGAGGCTGCCTGACCCCAGAGGGGAACTCTTCCCCCTGCTTCTCCCCCATTGCTGCAGGGTGGGGAGAGGGGCCTCTATGGGCTGCTGTCCAGCCCCAAAGAGACTCTTCCTCCCGCTCCTCCCCCACCAGGGTAGGGGAAGTCTCTGTTCCCTGCTGGGGGGAACTCTTCCCCCTTCTCCTGCTCCCCTTGGAGGAGCAGCGGGAATGCGGAGCTCAGCTGTGCAGGGGGCGGGGGCTGTAGGGACCCACGCACTCCCCCATGGTGTGCAGGCCCAGCTACCTGGCAGCAGCAGCAGCAGGTGGGGACATCAGGGCACTGGTGCCTAATGCAGGCACAGCACTGCAAGGAGGAGGGAGCAGAGCTTGCCTTATCCCCAAGGCTCTGCTCCCTGCACCTGTAGCTCCAGCCCTGGCAGTGGGGGAAGCCCCACATTGGAACCTCCTGTTTCCCTTACTCCCAGCTGTGCAGTCCCTGCACTGTGCCAGGAGTGGAGGGAGTCCCCTCCCCTGTTTTGCCACAGAGTCTAGCACAAGGCTTCGCCGTGCAAGTGCAGAGCTGCAGGCCTTCAGTGTGGAGCCCTGGGGATAGAAGCGGCCAGGCAGGCAGCACGGGGCTGTGTTCCTAGCCCCCAATGCAGCAGTGGCTGCCTCTATTGCAGGGGTTCCATGCTGTGGGCCTGCAGCTCCACACTTGCACAGGGAAGCCCCCCACAGTCCCTGACATCCCCACCTGCTGCTGCCAGGTATCAGGGGCTGCACGCCATGGGGCAAGTGTGTGGGGGTCCCTGCACATCCACCCACACCCTGCCTATCTGAGCTCTATGCTCCTACTGCCCCTCTGGTGGGAGGAAGAGGAAGGGCAAGAGTCCCCACCAGCATGGAACAGAGTCCCCCTCCCCACCCTGCAGGACAACCAACCCAGCATAGCCCCATTAAGGTGAAGGGGGCAGGGAGAAGGGTTAATTCCTCCCTCCATCCCTTCCCTGCAGCTGGGGTCTGCCAGCTCCAGGGGCCACTGCTGCAGCCCCCTCTCCTCTACTCCCAGGCAGACAGGGAGACCCAGGCTCAGGTGGGGGAAGAGAGGAAGGAAGAAAGAATTAACCCCCTCCCTGCCCACTTTGCCTGAGCCAGGGTATGCCCACCAGTGTCTCTGCTAGGGCTGGTCCCTGCTCCAGCTAGAGAACAGAGGGGAGGGGCCAGCCCCACTGTGGAGCAGAGAGCCCCACCCAGCCCAGGGAGCATTCTGGGATGCTAGGAGTGTCTGCTTTATCTTAAGCCAGCAAGGGGTGTGGGACAGACATTGCATAAACCGGTTTGAACCATATCAGTTAAGTCTGATACTACATTCAACCAGGTTTATCTCATACCAGTTTCAGCCATTTTGAAACTGGTTTATGTGCACTGACTGTCTGTTCTGTTACAGGTTTATAGAAGTTTCTGATTGCTTAAATCAGTTTGTGTGTAATGTCTGTCCCTAGCCTGGGTGATTTAGTACCCTACTGTTTACATTAAGTATTTTTTGTATCAAAGAAAAGAGTTGTGTAATTTTTTTTTTTTTTTTTTTTTTTTTTTTTTTTTTGTGTTCTTTGATTTTTTTTTTTTTTTGTGTTCTTTGATTTTTTTTTTTTTTTGTGTTCTTTGATTTTTTTTTTTTTTTGTGTTCTTTGATTTTTTTTTTTTTTTGTGTTCTTTGATTTTTTTTTTTTTTTGTGTTCTTTGATTTTTTTTTTTTTTTGTGTTCTTTGATTTTTTTTTTTTTTTGTGTTCTTTGATTTTTTTTTTTTTTTGTGTTCTTTGATTTTTTTTTTTTTTTGTGTTCTTTGATTTTTTTTTTTTTTTGTGTTCTTTGATTTTTTTTTTTTTTTAAAAAAAAAAAAACAAATCAAACAACACACAGAACAAACAAACCACACAT